ACAAACTGGTCATGAATGGTGTCTTCAACAAACAGTCTTCCGGCTGCGATACAGTTTTCTCCCTTATTGAAGAACACTGAGCTCATGCCCTAAAAACGTATGCACACATTCAGATGGAAACAGCACCAGGGATTTTAGCTTTTGATAAGTAACACAGTATAAGACCTCAACCTAGATTTCAGCAGATTACCAAGCTGCCTTTTTTGCCAGATATGACTTCATTCCCAAAGTGGTAACACAACATCCTAAACTTACCATACGGACAGCCTTATCCAAGTCACAGTCACTGAAGATGATTAAGGGGGATTTTCCTCCCAGTTCCAGAGAGACTTTCTTCACATTACTCACTGCACAGCTTTCAACAGACAATGAAGCAAATACGCAAAAGTGAGCAACCAGTCCGTTGGAAATCGGACTTTGTTTACTTTACCACATACCTCTTCATTATATGTTTACCAATCTCAGTGGAACCTGTAAAGCCCAATTTGCGGACATCAGGGTGGTCAGACAGACGCTGACCCACGACAGTTCCTAAAAAAACATGAAAAACACCCATGATCACATGAGACTAACATCCATCAAGATTTTTTACCCTTTTCTTTTCATATTTCAATATTAATAATTCTGTCACCTGATTTAGTCACAAATAGAACACAGATTTAATCTATAATAATTATTTAATAATAATATTTATTTATTATTTTCTTTAGGAATGTTGACTTAATTTAAATATGATATATCATAATTAACTGAATATTTAATCTCCCACCTGATCCAGGCAAAATATTAATGACACCCTTGGGGATTCCAGCTCTTGCTGCCAACTCAGCAAACTTAAGAGATGTCAGTGGCGTCACCTGCAAACAAAGATTAGTGATTAATGTTAGGTTTGTACATCGTCTAACCTTTTACCTAAAGGAAACCAGACTGACCTGAGCTGGCTTAAGGACCACTGTGTTTCCTGCTGCCAAACAGGCTGCAGTCTTCCAGGCCAGCATCATCAGTGGGTAGTTCCATGGTATCACGATGGCACACACACTTAGAAGAGACAAATGAGAAGTGCTGCACTGAAGTTTCCTTTCTCTTGTAAAGTATTCTGTTTTCTTTAGAACTGTACCATTTTTTTAGAGATTGATAATCAGATCTCAACTGCAGAAGTGGTCATTTTTGGTATTCTGTTATTTAAGATAAGGTCAGTGTATGAGGTACACAAGACGATTTCGGTTGTACAAACAGTATCTGGCTTAATTCTTATAGATAAAGGATCTTTGTATTTCGTAATAATTTGTCTGGTGCTCATTTTGTTTAAAAGAATTGTGATAAATGAATAAATCATATCGAGAGCGAAAAACATTAAGCACAAGTTGAATGTATAGGACTATTCCAGATGTGCTTCTTGAATCCTAATCTATTAAATATACCTATGGATAAACATCTGCCTGATCAAAAGTGGACCAGATTCTTACCCAATTGGCTCTTTCTTGGTGAAAGTAAGGTTACGATTAGGCCTGGCCTGGTTGATAGGAATGGTACTCCCCTGTAAAAAGATCACAGTTGATTCAAACAAAAAAAACAAACCAAAATCTGAAGTCAGAATTTATAAGGACTTTTGACGGGTAAAAAAAAGCAGTAAATCTTCTTACTTGGATCTTGTCACACCAGCCAGCAAAGTAGCGGAAGGTCTGAATGGACATGCCCACGTGGGTCTTGAGAGCCAGTGTGTAAACAGCACCAGAGTCAATGGCTTCAATGGTAGCGAGCTCCTCCTGGTGCTGCTCCATCAATTCAGCAAGACTGGGCCCAGAGTGGAAGATCATCATTTACATACTAAACATATTTGGTATTTTTCACACTAATATCTGTACGTCACTTAACAAATGGACTGCTGTCCTGTTTACTAGTTATTAACAATGTTTGGTCTGATAATGACAAAATAAACTTTCAGTGTAAGTTTATGCATTACTCACATTTTCTGAAAGGATCTATTCACCCAAACAAAGAAGTGGATTAAAAATAAAATAAATCTTTTAGCATGAGTACTGACTTGTACATAAGTCTCCCTCTGTCTCTTGGATTCATTTTGCCCCACTCTCCTTCTTCAAAGGCCTCTTTGGCTGCAGCCACTGCCTTGTCAACATCACTAACCTGGGCCAAAGAAACTTCACAGATGGCCTACAGGACAAACAGGTGGACAGGAGGTCACAGGGTGAATCACGGCAGTGTAAACTTCCATCCATTGGTAGAAAGTCTGAGTGCTTAATCTAGATTCTTATTATTAGTTATTATATATTATTATTATGATTGTCTAATATTATCTGATATTAATGTTATCTGATATTATTACTATTTTATATTATCTGATTCATGTAGCTGACTGCAACAATGCAACATCACATTCACTGCTGAAAAGTTATAATAGGAAGGAAGTAGGAGTTTTAGCGACACATTTAATTATTTTATAAAATTCCTTATTTTGATTTGAACTTCTAATTAAATGTTATGAAATATGATCTTTGGAACTTACCGTGCCATCAGTCGGGTTAATGGTCTGGTAAGTCTTTTCTCCCTCTGAATTAACAAACTCCCCATTGATGAAAAGCTGATGAGGCATTTTTATCGTCATGTTGTTGACTTCCTTCTCCACCTGAGTAAAGTGTAGAACATCCGCATCAATTACCAACAACAAGGTCGGCTTTACCAACAACTAGCAACAGCTGGTGTGACTGAAGATGGCACCTACATAGTCCACTATCAGCTCCTCCTCCCCATCCTCCCCTCTGAGCTTTCTGACACACATCTGGATGAAATCGTGGAAGGTGGTGTTCATGTAGATGTCCTCGTTTTGCAGCTGGCAGGTACTGACCCGGCCCTTCACCTCCTCCACCAGCCTGAAGACATCAGCAGAGAAGAGAGGGTTATCAGTGAGTTACAGGAGAAGACAGAAAGGATGGCAGAGAGTTTAAAGGAGTGTAGAAGGAGGGAGGGATACAGAGATAGACTACACACTAATACCACGATCACAGACTGCCAAGCACTAACGGAGGGAACCTTTGGCCAGTCATCGTTAGTATATTGCTGCTTTTTATCATACACACTCTACCCATTGACCCAGTGTAAAGAGGGTCTATGTTTTTGGTACGCCAGATTTAGAAGAAAGGCTAGACCAGGTGTGGGCAAACTTTTGGACTCGAGGGCCACAAAAAGCTTAAACGGGCCGCAACCTTAGTTTGCCCATGCCTGGACTAGACGCTGTACCCTTCCATTCATTTTTGTTAGGCTGGGAAATGCCAAAGCTCAGAATTTTTTTGAGCTTAAGACAATATTAGAACATACTTGCAGCAAAATAAAAGTGGTAATTGTTATTTATAATTACAGTGTTTTGCGATCGATCAAAATCAAAACGTGATTAACTGCGCATCTCTACTACAAGCTTGTCATGGTAGTATGTGAGATACTGTAAACAATATCAATTTATTCAACACAGAAATATCTATAATTAAAAACAATAAACCTACCTGACCACATCCATTGAAGAAGCACCAGACTTAAAGAAATCAGTGGAGTCCCCAATACTATCCAAATTAGTAAGAATACCATGCCACACTGTCTGTGAAGAAAGAAATAACCCCAGAAACATGATTTCATGTCAACTCCTACTGCTGTTCACAACAACCAGTGTGACCTACCTTCATATGTGCAGCAAAGGTCTTCTCCTCTTCAGTCAGTTCCACAGTAGCACTACTTCCTGAGCTGAAGTACTGTCCAGCAGCAATCATCTTCCCATCCTCAAATTGCATATTTTTTACCAGTAGCTGTGGACAGGAAGTGCAATGAGATGATTCTTAATAAGACACTCAGGCCACAGTGTTCTTCATGTGCTTTTACAACATTCTCTCCAGAGGAGGAAGGTGAAGAACAGGGTTTGAATATTAACTGACATTATCATCACTCTGAGGGAAAATAATCTGGCCTTTAGTTACTATGCCCAAAACCTTTAGCTTTTGATCGGAACTTATCCTTTAAAATACTAAGTTAACAATCTTTCTTAAGTGTCGACTTGCTGTCATCTTATAAATGACCACATAGAAACAGCAGGACTTACTGGACAGTAGCGCCACCTCACTGTGACAGATTCCCAATTTTTAGATTAGTGAGACTATTTCCAAAATGGTCTTACTGTCTTGCTGTCATTGCCAAACAGCACCAGCCCAGACTTTGTGACGATGCCAGGTTGACTGGCCCCTGGGATCTCCAGCGGCTGACCCTTGCCTGTAACACCTGAATCCAGCAGGGAGGAACCGAAGAAGGTGACTTTCTGCAGGAGAGACACAGGACAGCAACCCTTTACAGACTTTACATAACTTGCATGTATATAGACCTAGAATTGCATTTTCCTCTGTGAGGGACATGTGAATATGTTGGGCTCTCCTGTGATGGGTGTTGTTGAAAATTTCTACCTTGAAAAGCACAAGTAATTAAATAATAATCTAAAGAGTTTTTGGTACAATAAAATAATTGTCCATTAATGATGTTTTAAACCTAAATAAATTGCAAGTATTCATGTTAATGCTTAGAAACACAGACTCTTGAACTCTTGAAATGAACTGCCATAATAATGTGTTATAAAGTTGTTATCATGGTTGAAGGTAAAAATGTTGTTAAGGGACAACGTGTTGTCACCTGTCCATCGATCTCTGTCCAGGCACCAGGCACTTTGTCATTTCCTCTGATCCAGTTGTGAAGAGCCTCAGCACTCTGGTTCCAATCAATCTGTGGAAGAGCAACTGTTTACCTCACCAAGTATAATGATGAATGACCACAGACTCTGACGCTGCCACACAAGCAAGCAATATGTCTGTCTACTGTCCAATTCACCTCAGTAAACGCTGCTCAAAAAAGACATTGCATTGGTAAAAGAAAACAGGACACATTAGTAAAACTTTATACAAGAAAGGAGCCTGAGGTTTCATCTTAGAAAATATTTTTGAAAATATTTTTAAAATATTTTTCTTTCATCTTTTCTTTTGTCAGATGAATTAGCAACATTGTCATTAAACTGTATACATTAGCTGCGTGTGGTACAGGTTTTTCTTACCAAGACTCTACAAACATGTTATTTCTGTAACAAACCAGACTAGATTTAGTTGTTTTTTTATCTCCTCTCACAGTGCTATTTTGTTAGACACATTGGGGAACACACTGATCCCATGAACTGTGGTTTCAAGTATCACCAAAACACTGTTGTAGCTTAACCTTGGCATTTTCTTTTTTCTGGATGCACTCATATGTGGCTCCCTCTTGTGGCTGTATGATCCTTGGAGCTTTTCCCTCTGCAATAAGTCTCACTGCCTCCACCTGCAAACGGAACAATGCAGTTGTTATTTGGGCTGTCCAAATTAAAGCATTAATCATGCTATTTGTGGAAACCTGCACCTATAATTAACAATTCCACTTCCATTCACTTATCTTTGATGTTATATACAAACACTGAGAGGAAACACTTTGTTTCACAAAGCACTTCAAGCCTAAAATATCATCTTAACACCTGACATCAATCGTGGGGACATTAACTTTAGGTCAGATGCAGGTGTAGCACCAGATCAACTCATAGCTACGGCTAATTTAGATGACAACTGTCAAATGGATTATGAAGGACATGCTCAGTGTACCTCAGAGGCACCTGGTGGATTCAAACCTGCAACCTGCGACCAGACACAGGTCTGCACCACTGCTACTCCTCTAATGCTCTGCCACCGACTTGTTGCTACACTTACTGTGCCTTTGATTCCTTCTGGAAAGAGGAATCTCTTGTAAATGGTGTTGACAGTGTCATTGGGTTCAACATCACACTCCCTCTGTAGCAGAATTGGTCCAGTGTCGAGTCCATCATCAGCCCAGAACACAGTGAAGCCACCCTTTTTGTCACCATGAATCAAGGTCCTATGTAGGCGAAGACAAAACACAATAGATTTGTGGTTTTACAAAAAAATCAGACGTGTGCTTTTTATGCACACATTTCACTCACCAGTTGATGGCAGAAGCACCCCTGTGTCGAGGCAAAATAGAGGGGTGGTAGATAATGGAGCCATGTTTGGGGTGGTCAATGACCTCCATGGGGATATACTGGGAGCAAAATGCGAGGACATTGAGCTCAGCTCCTGTGGCCTTGTACTGGTCAACAACCTCTGGAATGACCTGACCCTTCACACGCCAGCGGGGGAACTTAAAAACAGCAACTCCGTCCTTTTCTGCCTCGGTGGCTGTGGAAGAAAAGTGACACAGTTATTAACAGAAGTCAACGTAAACAAAACCCACACAGTGTAGTTCACAGCTCAGTCCATACAAGAAAAAAAATCTGTTTTATGTAAGATTAACATAGGGTTATGTTTTTGTTTTTGTTATGTCTGTTGTTGTTGTTTACGTCTGTGTTTCTACACTGAGCATCATGACAGAGAGACAAAAGGGTGATTAGCCATTCAGCTAGGGCATATTGCTACACCGTGGTGTTTATAGATGACATTGTGATCTGTGGTCAGAGTAGGGAGCAGGTGAAAAAAACCCAGAGAGGCGGAGGTCTGCTTTGGAGCTAAGAATGAAGGTCATCAGGAGGAAGACAGGATGTAAACAAGAGTGAGGTAAGAGGGAAAACAACTGCAGAGTGTAGAAGCAGTAAAACTGAATGAGTACAAGTACTTCGTGTCTACCATCCATCATTATGGACTGTGCAAAAAGAGGTGAAAAGTAACGTGCTGGAGTGATAGTTTCATTGAACTTATTTCTTGCTCTACGACTATTAAAGTATCGATTTGTAGCCCTCATCATAAACATGTGTGACAAGCCATGGAAACTGGTTCAAGGGTCACGTATGTATGGTTCTGGTCCAAATGAATAGTGATCTCACCCAGCGGGTCAGCCTTGCCATCCTTGTCAGGGATAGTGAACACTCCAACCAGGGTGTGGCCATCGTTCTTCAGTGCCTTGTAGACCTCCTGGCCAAACAGGCTCTGACCAATCACGGCAATCTTCATTGTGACTTTGTCCTGTGTGTGGTTATGCTCTAGAGGGACCAAAGAGGAAGACAGTGTTTAGTACTGCAATTTCACTCAATCTTATCTTATCTCATTGGTGCAATATGTTAACATAGTCACTGTAGAAACACCTTGATTTCCTCTCACTGATTTAACTGCATTTGGCTGCAATCCTTCTAGAATTCGATGTTATTGATTTATTTAATGTTTTCCTGCATCAATATACACACACACACACACATATAAATAAATAAATATGTATACATATATAAATATATACACACATATATGCATATATAAATACATATATATACACATATAAATATATATTTATAATAATAGATATAAATATATATCTTGGGGATATTTGAACTAAAATTACCTGTTTAAACAAAATACATAAAAATCATCATTTCAGATTATCCTTATTGAAAAACGACCAAATTTGGAGAAAACATTTGCAAATTAAATTAAATAAGTATTTCGCTCACGAACACAGACATTTTTTCCCCGAACAACGCCAGCTGACCAACATGGTTTCGATATTGTTTACAAAGTCAAACTAATAATAATGACCGCAGGACAGTTGGTTGACCCCAGCAAGTTTTGGGGGCGTGGTTTGAGCCTTCCCGTCTCTGTTGGCCAATCAGATTCACCGACACGTTTGCAGGATTTATAAGTCACTTCACAAACGTCTGACAAAGTTCTGAGAAGAATGTTCCCAAACAGTGCTATTCAGACTGTCATTGTTTACAGAGGTACATTATAGACTCACATCTACAGCAGACAATGTCAGTGCACGTCGGACGAACTTTTGTCACAGAACCGCACAGTGTCACGGATCAACTCAATGCATCATACAATCAGGTGACGATTAAAAAATAAATAAATAACAGTGTCGTGTGTTTGCTCACCCTGGGCTGCAAAAGCCGCTGTCCCTTTTCTCAGGCAGAAAAGAAAGCGCACACACGGACGGTTCCTTTTAAATTTCCACTCTCATTGACATATGCAGACTGTGGAATTACGTAACACACGATCAACGCTTGTTGATTGGATGGTGGGAGTCGCGGGGGGCTGGGCCGAAATCTGTGACCTTTGGATCCTAAAAAAGGGGAATCGCCTAGAAACAAACAACTGCAATAGGGTGACTTTTTTTATTCCAACCAGAAGTATGATGTCATTGTCACTAAAATATAAAGATACATTTTTTTGGAAACGTGCAAATATCTTCGATTCTGTTACAAATGTCACCTGTGTAGACATCCTTCATGGAAATACAGTTGAGTTTTAAGAAAGGATTCTTAAGAGAAAAAAACATTAATACAGTAATTCATCATACATCTGTCTTTGGTTCTACTGTACTTTGTTTGAGATCACGGTCAACCTATGTCGACATATTTGAATTAAATCTGTAGAGTTGGAAGCTGTTTAATACATTTTTGTAACAAATGACTTCTAAAAATGTTATTTTTTGTGGGTATTTTTGTCCAATCATTTCTTCATGTTAGGCTAATTTAGTTGCAGCTAATAAATGACAACGTTTCAAACTCTTTCTACTGTATATTTTAAGTTTCATTTTTCAAACAACGTTTCAAACAATTGTACCCCTCTATCCCTTTTTCACCCAGGACTGTTGTACGTCTGGTTAACTAGTAAAAATTCTAAATTGCTTTGCTGCACTATAACCTTGAAATATATTACATTATTACACATGTATTATTCTGAAAGATTAAACCACATTCCTCTTTGGACTTTTGGATTTACAACTGAACCTTTGTTCCAGTCAAATCTTAATTGAAGTCGTATACTCAATGTAATAAGGAAATAAGGAAATAAAGCACTTCCTTCTTTTCTTTGTTGATCTGTCGTTCTCTTCTGAGCTGCAGCAATAGGGTTTATATTATTTGTTAATTGTTGTTGAGCTACAGGAAATATGCAAGTAAATATACAGTATAACATAATCCAGTACCACTACTACACAATATATTTGTTTGGCACTTGAAATACTTTATATTTCGCACTGATTATGTAATACGTTGTTACAGTGTTTTTCCTGTCACTGATTAATCATCATGTTTACATGGGACTTTCACCACAGAGGTGTGTTTGTGTTCTTGTAATCAATAACTCAGGTCAATAATCCATGTTGAGTGGCCTGACTGTCAGACCATTATCACAGACACGATGATTGTGTTTGTTAGGACGGCGACCTAGTCTTCCCAAGGTAGAGTATAGTACTACATGGCAACTGAACCTGAATGAAATTACTGCAGCACTACTTATTCTAAGATTTATAACCTGCTCAGAACACTTATGAACTCATAATAATAAATAAAAAAAATAACAGTAATAACTTACAGCCCCAACTTGCACTAACCCTTTCCTCATGCTTGGTCTGGAAAATAACAAGGTTAATTTAAAAAAACATATATACACACACACACACATATACTGTGTTGGACGGTGTCCGGAAAATGTTCAAGTTTTTACAAAGCAGCAACCCCAGGCACCCAGATGCTGGTCAAATATTTGCACGTTCTCCTTCACCAGAAATACCTTGTTACTCCACATCCGTCACATAATCCTAAAGGACTATGCTGGATATCCATTGGATAAACTGTGAAATGGAGCTTTGTTCTGTGTAACTGAAAAGGAATTAATAAAAGACAAATAGAAATGACCTGTGAAGACATTTCTTTGTACCTGTGATTAGAAAACGTCTTTTGGCCAGATATGGTCTTTATGGATGGTTTGCAGACAAAAGGCCACTCAGAAATATTAACTTGGGTTGCAGAGAAATCACACCAGTGTCCAGAAAATGGTTAAATAAGATATTTCACTGATTGACTCAAGAAGACTGTACTAATGAAACATCAACCTCATTCTGCCAGTGTCATTAAAACTATCTTCATAACCCTGAAGATACTTTTAATGACATTAGAAGAAATGTTGAAACTGATGCCATTGGTCTAACACAATCCAACACCAATTACTGTGTCAAATATTGCAGAAAATAAAAGAAAATTTTGAAGAAGTTTATATTCACAGACGATCTTTGATCAGATCTTCAGAGATCTTAGCAGGTAGTTAGTCCAACTACCTGCTGAGTTCCTTGACAATCTGTGTGTAAGTATTCCTGATACTTCTCATTCAGCTGACAGATTATTTCAACTTTACTTTATAAGGTGTCCCTTTCATATTGTCAAGATGAAAAACAAAGGTTGCCTCATAGACTAATGTGCTGGAATTTTTATTTATATGTGTTTGGTCCAGCCATTGTGTAAACCTATGTTAAAAATAAATAAATCAAATTGTTACAAGAAGGTTGAAACGCAAAATGTAATGAAAGTTTTAACATGAACAGGAAAGAACAATAAATCATGAACACAAATATAAATTAGGTTGAAGATTTCAAATGGCCACAAAGAAATGAAACATAATTATGTAGGTGTGCATCTCTAAGTGACTCTAAGGCAAATGGAGTGTAGACATAACACTGTGTGCCAGACTGGCAATGACGCCAACAATAAATACCCACGTAAGGCAGAGCAGGTGGAAGTCCTAGGTGTCGCTCTGACATGCAAGAGCTTTCAAATGATTCCGTTACAAAACTGTCTTTAGAAACACAAACTTTTCCCTATAATCTCATACTACCTTTCAGGATGCATCATGGAAAATCTTTACAAAATTGTCCAAAAGATTTTCACAACCCAAGACCTTGGAAAATTCAAGCCAAACGTCAATATACCTTTTTTTTTTTTTTAATAAATAGTGGGCACAGGTGACGTGTAGTAGTAGTCCATGATAGCAGCTGAACTCTGACCTGAGGCTCAGAAAGATCTATTCCAAGTCCTGAAGGTTAATTGTGCTTCCTGTGAACCGAGGGTTGTTGGAGCATTTGTCTTCCTCGGTCATCACTGAAGGTTCCTGTGAAACAAAACAACCAATGTCAGACAGGTTACTTAGAATATTACTCATTACATTTGCCATTAGTTTCATCAGGAGTTTCAAACTGCAGTGATGTGGTTCACACCAGGTGTGACGGTTGAATTTGTTAAAACCCTAAAGTTTTTATCCATGACACGCTTTCTGACTTCACACTGGTGTAGGCAGGTGGTGTTAGGGTTGAACCACGAACCTTCTAGATTGCAGGCAAGAATTAAAATGTAGTATTGTATTATTTTCTTTATTCATTTGAAAATATAAATAATGATATATAAACATAAAAATAGTGATGTGTAATGTTTAATGTCATTTTAAAGAATTTAAAGTTCTGTTGACCCAGTGGTCAATAATAATAATAATTATTATAATTTCGCTGAACTGTGTCACCTGTAAAATATTGGCAGGGAGGTCACAAGTGAGCTGTGAATGGGAGCTGGTGGGCGGAGAGTTCAACTGGAAGGCCAGTTCTCCATCACTGGCTGGGTCATCCTGCAGGAAACAAGATTTATGTTTTTAAAAAATGATTTTATCTCTGCTGTGGTTCAGTGCAGTTAGTGTCTGACCTGAAGCAACTGAATCTGGACAAACTGAGCCCCAATGACAGGGTCACGCAGAGTCAAACCACTATTTGATGTCAAAGCTGCTTCACCATAATGAGCCCCGGGGAGAGCACCAGGCGTGGGAACAGTCGAAGCTTTTGCACCTTTAGATTTTTCCAGAGTCTTTCTAGAACCTCCTGGAGTGGTCAAGAACAACACAGTCACCCACAGCATTAACAACAGTGAATGAGTAGCAGTGAACTAGAGCCAGAAACTAGCTAATGGGTATGTTACCAGAGGAGGGTGGTGGGCCCTTTTGGTTTTTCTTCTTTTTAGCCAACTGGATGGCTCTGTAGTCAGTCCTGGCTGAGCCTCCACTCTCCTAACATGCAAAATTCAGACACAAAATGTTATTTCATCTAACTTGGTGGATACCTAAAAAAACACTAATTTTTAAAAAAAAAAAAAGAATTACTAGTAATTAGTAATATAATACAATTATAGCCATGCAAACCCTGATAACATAATTATACAAAAATATCACAAAAAAGAAAACTGAAAATATTATCGCTACTTACCAGTAAGCTGCTCGGTGACATCGAGTTGGGGTCAGGCTCTTTTTGGGAACTTACGGTACTTTGAGTTGGGAAAACAAAGTGAGTCAGGACTTTTCCTCCTCCCGGAGGACCCAGCACCTCCACGCAGCCGAGGAGAGGCCCTGCTCCGCCCTGACCATTGACCTCCACCCCTGCAGGGGGCGAGGCGAGCAGCTCCGTCACAGGAGCCACAGCCATGGAGTGGGTTGGCTCAGCAGTCAAGGTTGTGCATGAACTGAGAGAGTGCTGTTGAGTGGTGTCTAAAGGGGCACCAGCACCTTGCATGGTAAGTGCGTTAAGAGTCCCAAGAGCCTCGGGGTTAACAGTCTGCACATCATCTAGATTCAGGGTTCCCTGATGGGGTAAAAGATGGCCAACAGTTCCCTCCAGACTGTGGTGAGGGCCCATATCAGCACCGGCTGCTAGAATAAGAGGGTCTGCACTTTTGGTCAAAGTGGTGCTACCATTGGTGCAAAGTGTAGTCCCAACAGAAGAAGGATCGATGGTGAGGATCCCTGAGCTGACGAGGGAGAGGTCCATGGCAAAGGTGCCATTAGTGTTGCTACTGCCCAAAGGAATTCCCACTCCAATACCTGTCGTAGGTTGGGCTCCAGCAGACATGACGTTAAAAAGAGAAGTCAGGTCCAAGTTTGTCAGCTGATCACTATCTGCAACACCAGGTCCAGAAACGATGGTTGAGGTGGAGCTGTTGAGCTCGCTGCTTGGCGTCAACGTTGGCATAGTCACCAATTGGTTTAGAACATCTGGCATGAAGAACAGAGAAAAAAAAAAGCTGTGAAGAAACAACTGACCTCACAGCATCCAGAGTTGGGATGTCTAAAAAACAAACTCAGTGCTCAGTGGTCTGATTTAACGTCAAAAAAATAAAAACAACAAAAAACAACAACAACAAAATAAACAAATATATTGAACTTATTACTTGAAAGAACAAACCAGATAATCAGCACATATACGTTAAATGATGAGATAAAGGCCCTACTACGTACGGTATAAGAATTAAACTAGGATGACACCACAGTCCCAATCCCCCAGCAGTTCTTTACTGCATTTATTGAGACAACTCATCAACTCCCTTTACTCAGCAAAATGTCTGAAATGTATACAGCCTTAATATATATCAATATCTATATCTCTCTCTCTCTATGTAGAGAGAGAGAGATAGATAGATATAGTTGGTACAGTATAAGCATTTTGAAGAGTTCACTAACAATCACTCACCATGGCTGAGGTTGTGGTGTTTGAGCATGTGACTCTTTAAACTGCTGCGAGATGAGAAGTGCTTGGTGCAGTCAGCCACAGGACAACGGGTCCTCAAGGTACTGATGTCCTGTTTATGTTTCCTTGAGTGGATGTAGAGGCTGCTGCGAGCTGAGAACCTGGCATTACATCCTAAAGAGCACATGTGCTTTATTTAGATGATAGCTCACACTTGAAATAGGACAGAAGTTAATCATTAATCATTTAACAGCACTATCATATCAGAGTAGGGAAATGAAGTTGTGGCTTGTGTCAGGAGTTCTTTAAATTTAGAGTAGCGATAACCCAAGGCTTATACTCTGTGTTTTATTTCTACAGGCAGTAATTTGAAAAATAAAAGTAACCCTTGTTTTTGGTAAATAGATACAAATATTCTGAACAGTGCTGGGCATATTAACAATTTATAAAATTGTTTATTAATCAATTAATTTCCACATTTTTTATTGCACTTTCTCTATAATCAATATTAAAATATAAAGCATCTATTTCAACTACTATTTAACTTTGTTTTTGTTTCTGCACCTACCTTCTGCAAGGCACTGGAAGGGCTTGGTGCCCAGATGAGTAATACTATGTCCCTTGAGGTGCTCTGCTCGGGTAAAAGATTTCCCACAGCCCTCCTCCATACACACAAAGCGACGATCATCTTCATGTTTCCTAACAAATGCACAGACACAGACATCTCAGTCTTCTGAAGTGCAAAGACTAGACTCGACTAGATGGTTCAGTGAGCCTGCCTTGGCCCGTAGGCCACCAGTTGATAATCATTAGTGTACATCATAAGAAAAGGTGAGGGATATGATTAAACGTATTCCATCTGTCTGGCATTATTGTAGTTGTGTCACTTTTTAGAACTTACCGTTTGTGTCTTAGCAATTTGGACATACTCGTAAAAGACCAGGCACAGCCCTGAGAGTCACAGACGAAAGGCCTCTCACCTGCAAACAGGAAACTCTGTTTACCAGTGATGAAGAACTGAGGCGTCAAAGAAATAATAGGGTTCAGAAAAAAAATTCAACACTGCAGAATCTAAAATATATCACAGTATTGGCCTCATTTAAGGCTGTAGACTGCACAATTCAATTTGTAAATGGCAGCACGTGAATCACATGGGACCTAGACTAAAACATTAAACCCACAGTTTGTTTCCAACATATGCAAACACATTTAAAACATATTCATTAGTAAGAAAAAAAACACAAAAGAAAAACCTTTTGTATTGGCAAAACTACATGAAACCTGAAAATAACACAGCAAATGCAATATATAATAGTAATAGACAGTAATAGTTGTAATATTTCTGAAATCCAACATCAACAACCGTTAACATTTGAGGTAAGAATAAAAAATAATAAAAAAGCACATTTACAGCACCGTGTGATCAGAAATAACTAGCTCTTTCATTGGACACATGGCTATCACTACTGTCTGATCGTCCTGTGCATTTGACTGCCAAACAGCTGTGGATGTTTGCTTACCTGTGTGACTCCTATGGTGAAGCTTGAGGCGATAAGCCTTGTCATAGGTCTTATTACAGCCCGGGAAGGTGCAGGTGAAGTGGCCAGTTTCTCTGAAGTGTGTGCGGTTATGGGAGAAGAGGGCACTGAAGGTGATGAAGGTCTTCTCACAGCCTGAAGGATACATTGATTGAAAACTGTGTCTTCCACATAAGGACTAATTACAACTATTTAAAAACTATTAGACTTTTTTGTATAATTATTAACCATGAAATTAGATCAACTAAATTAATATACTACAAATTTAAGACAAGAAAATGTTTTTGATATTAAACAGCTTAAAAGTCTATTTAATATAAAGTCTCTAACAATCTAAAAAACAATCTGACACCATCACATTGCGAGCCCCGCTGTATGCGTTTCCTGTGTTGTTTGACTGAACCCTACTTGTGTCACTGACTTAAACCCATATGCTCCTGTGTTATTGTATTGTATGGTCTGGGGAGGAAAGAGAAATCCAATTCATAATTTTTACACATCAAATAATAAAATAATTGATTGCTGAAGGTAAACCAGATCTGTTCTATCTTTGTAAGTGATACTTCAGTACTAAATATCTTTTTTACTCTTAATTTTTTAAGACTACCATTTCTAAATCTGAACTGATGCCAGCACACTGACTGGACGAGTGCTATCTGCTCCTGTAGGAAGATGACCTGTTCGATGGTCTGGTCTACAGTCTATGTGAGAAATTTGCATTGTGTTTTCCTGTGTCTGCCTGGGTTTTCTCCAGGTACTCGGATGAAAACATTCAGATTGGAATTAGATCCATTTAACACAATTGACCTTTGACATGACTGCTAGTTTTAATGCTTGTTTGTCTCTGTATGTGGCTCTGTCATGGAAGGGTAAGCTGTCAGTATGGATGCTGCAACTGCATGAGGAGGAAGGACGAATTGGTTGACACATATCTATATTTCTCATCACTTCCTCTTACACTTGCAGTGCCCTCGTATAGAGTCAGACACACAGAAAAACAAACATGCCAGATCATTTCCTACTGTTTTGGTGATGAAGTACAAAAAAAAAAGTTTGTTCAGCTCTTACCTGGGAACTCGCACTTGTGGGGCCTCTGTGGCTCAAAGTGGACCCTCTGGTGGTTGGCGAGGCGTGCTGAACTACGAAACTTCTCACTGCAAATCTCACAAATAAAGGAGTTGTCGTGCTCATGCACTTTAATGTGAGCTTTGAGGTTGTATACAGTGGTGAAACGCCGCCCGCATCCTTCAAACTGGCAGATATGTGGCCGCTGCTTGTCATGGGACTGAAGGTGTCGCTTGAGTTTGTAAGAGGTGGCAAACGCCCAACCACAGCCGTCATAAGAACACTGATGTGGCCGGGGATCCTCTGCATGATTCAGGAGGTGAACTTTGAGTTTTTGCCGTGAGTCGAATGTGCTAGAGCAGCCCGGTTCTATGCAGCAGAAGGATGTAACAGTCTCCTTTTTGGCCCGAACTGGAGGCACACAACGAAAGTCCTCATTATTACAGTTAAGGACTGCTACTCTGGGTGACAGGGAGATCAAATCAGGCTCTGTCACAGCACACAGCTCTCTGGTCTCTTGTTTTGTTAAAGAAGTGGAGTCCAGAGAGTTACCCAGCTCTGATAAAGAGCAATCAGTCACCAGAGTCAACTCTGAGTCACTCACACATGAACTAGTTTTGGGTTCTTCCTGATGACGGGTCCTTGATACTGTTAGCGTGCTGATCTTACCAAATGATTTAGTGCCACTATCATAGTTGAGAAGAACAACATCATCATGGTCTTTTATGCACAGATGTTCCTTAAAGCTGACCATGTCATCCTCTTTGCGCACATGTCCATCTTGTGGGGCAGCCACAGTCAGGACCCCGTTTTCTATTGCCACTATGATACTTTGGTTGTTTATCATAATAGTTCCAGAGAATACTTCGCTTGCGGGCGGACGTGTTGAGTCTGTGTCCCCCTCTACATCACCATCCAGTCCAACTGATCCTGGAATTAAGTCCGAAGAGTCCATGACTTCTGCGATGTGTGAGTTATCTGAAATCAAAGCAATATCGTCGACGATTCGAGGATGCGGCGGAAATGCGCTGCTCTGTTCACTCGCGTTTTTGGTACAAATCTGCCCACAATTCTTATCGCCATATTTTGTCAAAAGATTATCTTTAACAATACGGCGACACACCGTCTCCTTCGTATTCACAGCTGCACAATTCCGGCTAGGCACAGCGTAAACATGTTCAGGTTTTCTCAAGGCCTGAAAATCAAGATAGTTCAGAATTTCGTTGGATTCACAGAGAAGAATGTTGCTGTCGCTAACATCCATGAAGCTATGGAGTGTAGCAATGTACAGCAGTTATGCCGTTTGGCATTCACCGTACCTCCTTCCTCGTATATCCAGCTCGATCTCCATATGTTTGTTTTGAATGTCTCTTTCTTTTCAGCAACGTTAATAGCAACCCATTGCTCCTAGTTGGCTGTGATCCTCGGCGCAGCAGCAGCTTTGTTGGCAGCAGAAGGTTCCATGTAGCTGCCGTCCTCACGCTTCTGCTGCCGTAAAGTTAGAAACGGTAACGTTAGCTGCCGTAGCTATATCGGTTCCACTTCCCCTTCAAACGACAGCAGCGCTGTTTCTACCTCAATTGTTACATTGTTTACCCCGTCGTTGCCTGCAATTTAAACAAAACGCAAAAGTTAGGCAGGGGTCGAAGATTCACATGTAATATTATTATTGTTTTTTTTAAAAACACACAGCTATTTTTGTGTTTCCTTCAGCCCAAGTTATCGGTCTACGCCATTTCCGGTACAAATAATCCCAGGTTTACTATTTTGTCGAAGATTGGCCAATGCTAGACGCCATGTAGTGTAAATACTGTAATGATAATATAATAACATAATAACAATATTTTTTGGAAACCTAACAAATACTTTTGAGTGCAATTGGTTTTTAAATCGATTAGATAATTAGATTACTGTTACAACTGTTTTTATTATTTTATGAGTATTTCCCTTCATTTGACCAATAGAATTCATGTCTGTCACATAAATTAAAAAAACAAAAACAATCATTACCTGTACAGCAAGGGTTTCTAATAAGTAGATCGTAATGTACAAATAAATCGCAAAAGGACTACTGGTACATTATAAAATAAAAATATAGATGTCATTCTCTTCTAAGATTCAATCTATAGAACTAATTTAGTAACAATATCTGAATATTAAATCACAGTGTGCAATACAGCTACATACATTTAATCAAGTTCCTCAATGTATCATGTATATATAAAGTACAGATATCAAAAAAGAACTTGGAAAAAGGACTTGTTTTTATTTCAGTAATGGGATTGTACGTAATCTCGTGTTTTCAGCCCTTAAACCATCCTTATTTTACTTTGGCTGTATTATTTCCCCCTGAACATGACAGATAAACCTTAAAAAGAATCATGAAAAACATAGAAAAAAAAAATTACAATTAAAAACATATAATGCTTCAACCCTGAACGAGAAAGTGATATTTGGCACTTTGGCACTGAGAATTGACATTAAATCAATATAGGGAAAAGAGCGGAGGAGGGTTTAAAGTCACATTGAAAGGGTTCATATGACTGCATTGGTGCCTCGAAGGCCAACCCCGCGGGCGAGTTGCCCCAGCAAGCCAGTGATGGCACCAGAGGGGCTAGGTGCTGATGACTTAAGGCCCACGGTGGAGCTGTAAGCTGCAAGGAAGAGTTCCCGTACTGCTTCTAGACGGACTTGACGCTCAGTGGGGTTGGGACACCTTTAATGGGAAACAAAGAGAGTAACAAGATGACTGGTAAGAATATAAGAAAAAGAATATAAAAAATATGGAACCCAAAAAAAAAAGAAAAAGGAATGGACAGAGTTATGTGTGGCCATGTTTGCAGATTGAGCAATATAGTAAGTATTTCACAGTTTGCAAAACTGACCGAGCCTATGTAAAATTTCAGAGTAACTACATACTAAATACAAATCACTATTCAATAAAGGTAAAATAATAAAACTAAAATGAAATTCAACTACTCAATCATTCACTCACTGACCACTCACCAACTTGCTTACTTAATCATTCCCTTATTCACTAACACACTCAGTTTACTTACTTGGTTAGTAACTTATTTATTGACACATTTACTCACTCAGCTTACTAACTCCCTCACTGTGGTCAGGTCTTCTCTAAATGAAATCATGCCCTTACTTGTCTTCTTGACACATTAAATTTTGACTTAACAAGGGGGTCGAGGCAACTATTTTTAATATTTTGTATGTTGGGGCATACATTTTGGAAAATCACTTGATATCACTAGATTACAGAACTACTTACAGTTGCCCACTGGGTAGGTCGTCCCTAAAACTGAAGGGTAGATGGGAATCAAAGGCAGCAGCAGCAGCAGATGAGGTGGAAAGGTTGAAGGACAGTTGTGCGGGACCTTGATCATTGATGCTACCACAGCCAGACACTATCTGCCAACTGCCATATTCTGTTGAGAGGGAAGAACCTGACCGAGCGAACTCTGCCACTTTCCTAGAAAAGATATAAATAAACAATTGTCACTTTAGTTTTGGTGGCTAAGTGTATTTCCTGAATAGTTAGCTTTTTGTGTACAAGAAGCAGCATCAAATAAGCTCAGTTAGCCTCCTGTAGGGGTAGTAAATGTAAATAATGTAAGAGCCACAACGTTGCAGAATAGGCGAGACTGAGGAATTTATCAAAAATAGCGTGTGTGTGTGTGTATGTAAAACCTAAATCACTTTGGCAAACTGGGAATGTGATAAAATGGGATTCTTCACCTTTTTCCTGGTACAGCTAAAGGGCTGCTTCCGGTACATGTGACAGCATGGTCTGATTGGTTAGATGAAGAGGAGCTGGATGACCTGGCCTCATTAACTGGATTATGGAGATGGTCATCTACAGGGTTCTTATTCCAAACAATCATCTGAGGGGAGGAGGTGGTTCCCTTTCTCCTAAGGATAGAAGAACACATCATCAATACAGAAGGAGGAGAATGAGGAGCTGGTGAAGGAAAGGAAACATCAGCATTATGGATGTAACGATACACTCAACTCACAATGATTTTTTTTAAACAAAATGAGCTCCAGACAAGTTATGACCAAATGCAATTATTATCCATTATTTGTTAGAACTATGCAAAATACCATCACTAACTGAAATTGTCTTGTGTACCTCATAAACTGAAACCGTTCTTAAATAACAGAACACAACACAATGGAAATTCCTTTGCAGAAATATTGCACATCATCATTTATCTCCTCTTACTAAAAGCAAAACTGGTCTGGTCTTACTATCTGTGGAGCACTAACAGCTGGCTAAACACGCAATAAAATAACTGTCAGTGTTAATGAATTAATGTGATAATAACACATTAAGTTGACCAGCCCTAAAAATGATTAACTGGAGTTAATTAAAACTTGATCACACCAATATCAATTAAATTTAAAATAATGGTATTTCTGGACGACTCATAGTTTGGTAACATTCTCTTGGTAGATCTCTTTAATTATACACAATACCTACCAGCTACAGGCCTGGGCCTGGTTGAAGAACAGATCCACTGTTTCATTGGTGAGGTTGCTTCCTGCCTCCTCGGAAATGAGAGAAAATTCACTGCTCAGACTGGTCACACTGCCACGGTCCCTGGAGTCTTTGGCAAACAACACAGAAAAGTTATTGGCTTTTACATTTTAAAGTTGACGGGTAATAAAGTGTCTGACACTGCAAAAAGTTTAGCCTCAAACAGAGTGGTTATGTCATAGCATACTGCTGTGCTACCCTGTCTGCTGCCGTGCAGCCAGCTGACTGTACTGTCATGATAGCACCAACACGCCAACTGTTTAATAGTATAATACAATAAATAGTACATTTTTAAGTGTCAGACAAACACACAAACATCAACTTACTTAACTGGCAGAGATCTTCCACAGCAAAATCCCTGTCCATTAAGTGTGAATTTTTCCTTCTGCAATGACAACAGTACAATGACAATGTAATGTATTGCTTTAATAACACAATACTAAAGACAACATACTCTAAAATGTTAGGTTTTAATGTGAGCTGTGACAAAGGACATGGTTTGCACAGAGCATTGCACGTCACAGCTTAAATTCAAGATGAAAAAAATTTTAATAGGTTTTAAATTTGGTGTCATTTATCAATAACATAAGCCTGGCTTTATAACAGGGATGATCAACTTTAAGTAGAGCCACCCACCTTTGCTTCCGCACAGCAGAGAACTTCTCTGACACGATGTGCTTCAGAAAATTGAAGCAAAAGAAAAAAATCTGAGGAAGCAAGGAGATGAAGACAAATTAGATGAAGGTCAACTGTTCTAACAGAACTGTTGGGGAAGGTGAATAAAAGCATGGTGGATGACTAACTGGTAGTCTCTAATTAAAGAAAGCTTTTTGGTCCAATTAAAGTATCGCAAATAAGAATACTGCAGTATTAATTTAAAAGGCAACTATTAGGAAAATATTTGATTAATCTAATTTACCGATCAACTAACATACTGTACATAAATTTGAGTCACTGTCAGTATGTGGTCTATTTTTGGTCTTCACACATTTAATTCCTTAAGCACAAAACAGTTAAAAATATGAAGAAAAAAAAGAAGAACGAAAAGAAGAAAAACTCACCTCTTCCCCTTTGGAGAGTCGATCGGGCAGCATGTGACTGAAGTCAGAAACAAAACCCCATTAAACACTAAGCAATTCTTCCACCTAGACTCAAATAAATCACACAGGTTTAAAAATGAATATGACAAAGTAGAGGGCTGACCAAAAGTCTTTAATAACTACCAATATATTAGCATTTCTATCCATGATTTTTCTTCAACACTGATTCATCAGTAATAATCTATAATAAGGTGTAGATAGATGGAGCGTTCGTGCGAACTAAGATAATGCATGAAAGCTAATATGCTGAAATGCTTTTATCATTTTCTATGTCATCTATTGGGGAAACATAGGTATTGCAGGGGAAAGGCAGAAGTATAATGATAATATGAATACATTATATAATTTGGAAAGGTTTGGCCTGGTCAAGCTAGTTCCAATTTCAGTCATCAAGGAAAGTTAGGGTACACTGGATAGTCCATCTGTTAGAGATTGAGCTTGGACTAGTGACCTTCTTGCTGTAGCGCTAATAAACCTGCCGGTGCATGGGCCTTTAATCTAAGTCACCGTCTGCACAGGTTTCCACTCCTGAGACTCATACGAGAGGACGGAGCAAAACGCTTCTATGAATGACAACAGATTGGGATTTCAGTGTCCATGAAAATGTAACAGCATGAGTAGCTGGTGTTACTGTTTAACTGCCTGAGCAAAGTGCAGTTTAAATGTGTAAACACACACCTGTACCATTTCGCTTAAGCTCAGGTTTGTGAAGAATGGCTTTTGGAAATGTAATGAAACTGAAATGTATGTATGTGATCATGTTTACCCAAAGAGAAACCAGTCGTATGCAATGGTCAGATAGAGGATTTCTGCTGGCTCCAGTCTGGCGTGCACAGCACCGTCCTGTTGCAACACAAACAGTGACTTTGTAAAATATACACCATTATGTACAACCTGTCATACCAATGCTCTTGTGCAGTGTAGAAAAACATGTGAGCTTCAAGTAATGAAAAACAAAGTGCTCTTGTGGTTCTATAACAATTAATCTGCTGAATTCCAAAAAGCAATTAAACCACATTTGAAATAAATTCATCAATATTAAAAGGAGGCACAGCAGTCAATGCAATTACTGAGATTACCAAAGAATGTTACAAGAGCTAATAGAATAGGAATCGCTTGATACAGTCTGGAACAAACGGAAAAAAATGAAGAACTTACAGCCCACAGGGAGAGCCGGAGAAGGGACACAAACAGAGGAGTCCGATCCCAGCCTGATATGCAGTGAACCAAAAGGCCACTTTCTTCTGCAACAACACACAACATCACATTTAACCTCTAGAGTCACATTTACATTAATGGGACAAGCTATGTTATAAAGGCATGAGATTAAAATATATTTTGGAATTTTTGTAATATTATTTGCTCATTTTAAAAACATTTAAATAACTGAAAAAATTAGTTTGCGGAACGTAAGTGGCACCCGGGCCAGCAGTTTGAGACCCCTGGTCTACAGAATTAATATGTTTAAATTCATAGACCACAAGCTGTAAGGTTATATTCCTCAATACATCATGACAGAAAATCCACCTACCATCATTGTTTATGATGTATAGTAAGAGCTTTAGGTAATTCTGGGTCTGTTCCACCAGGTCCCAGGACTGATAAACCAATAGAGGGAGCAAGAAAGGGAGAAAAAAAATCAGAAGGGGTTTAGAGACAGACTGACTTTTCTATGAGAACACTTTGTTACACTTTCAACCGAGTCAACAAAACACAATACTGCAATATACATTACAGTGTTTCTCTGTGGACAACAGATAGCATGACATGCAGTCAGAAGACAGAAAGCTGTGAGACAGGACAGGACGTGGGGCGGAGAGGAGAGGAGAGAATACCTGGTATTGGCTCCAGTCAATGTTCAAGTTCTGGGTAAAGCACTCAGGGATAGTCAATGGAGCGTCCACATAGTCCTAGAAGTAGAAACACAGAGACATCAGCATTGACGTTGCCCAACAATAATAATCAAACACTTTTGTGGCAACGAGCGATGTAATGAAATTTTAATTTATAGTTTCTCTCTTTCTCGCTCCATCTCATCAGGATTTTAGTACAGCCCATTTTTTTTGTCGATCATGTTACTCAATAAATGACAAACTAATAATTCATTACTCAATTAAAAATACAATTAATAACCCTGTTCATGTTGATGTTAGCACACCATACCTGATTCCAGTTGAACACCAGACCCTCAGCTGTGTAGTCACATTCTTTGTAGTCCTTAAAAAACTCGCAGCCTGAATAAAGACAACATTGAGGGTTTCCATGAACTGAAGATACAGGAAACGCAGTGATCTAGTTATAAATGAAAACAAGTGTTGAACTCCCTCATTGAACATCTGTTTTTATTGTGAGGATAGTGGTCTACAGTTCGCATGTGCATGTTGCATTAGAGATCTTAGTATCTCAATATATAACTATTTAATGAATTGGCATTCATTTCAGTGGACAGTAATTTATACAGTGGTGTGTTTGTCCTCTTCCTGATTTCTTATATTTCTGTACGGTCAACACACTTAAATGTTTCAGACCAAACTAATTTAGATATTAGACAAGGATAACACAAGTAAACACAATTGAAGTTTTTAAATGAAGGTTTTTATTATGGTGGGTACATGACTCTGTGTGAAACAAACGATTGCCCCCTAAACCCAGTAACTGGTTGTACCGCCCTTAGCAGCCATAACTGCAATGTTTGCGATCACTGGCAAATAGTCTTAAGGGGAATTTTGGTCATCTTTGCAGAACTGTTGTAATTCAGCAACATTGGTTTTTAAACAGTAACTTCTTTTTAGGTCACACCACAGCATCACAATCAATTTCAGGTCAGGACTTTGACCAGGCCACCATAAAGTCTTCGTTTTGTTTTTCTTAAGCCATTCAGAGGTGGACTTGCTGCTGTGTTTTGGATCATTGTTCAGCTGCAGAACTCAAGTCCAAATCAACTAGAGGCCACAAACAGATGACTGCACATTCTTCTACAGGATTTTTTCAGTAGACAGCAGAACCTTAGAGTGAGAGTGGGGTAATCTTGGTCGGCTGGCCACTCCTGAGCAGGTTCACCACTGTTCCATGTTGTTGCCATATGTCAACAATGGAGTCCCAAAACCTTAGCAATAGCTTTATAACCTTGTCCAGACTGATAGAACTCAATTACTCAAACTCAATTAATGTTTAAAAAAATGAGTTTTGTACCACTGCTTGCAAAATATCACAGGTTATATACTATCATTCTTCAATACATCTAGTCAAAATTTTCCAACCAGCACCTTATGTAAAAAAGTGCATATGTATGTGTATGTGAAGAGGTGGCATGTGTCTGGTTACCTGGATAAGGAACAGAGAGCAAAGTGAAGTCTGCATAGCGCTGGGCTTTGTCTGCCTTTTCAGAGGATGTCACACTGTATAGAAAAGAAGGCTGATGTCAACATATATTATTGGCAAAAAATCAGGACAGCGCCATTAATAGCAAATATGTTTCAAAGGCAATGATACTGTATTTTTTGTTTTATTTACTATTTCGTTTTATTTTTTATTCTTCTGTAACAATACAAATAAGTACATAAAACACCTTGGAATGCATCTGGTACTGACTTTAAAAAATAAAATAAATAACAAAAAATAAGTTCATGTTCCAAAATGACTCAATAATCTGGAGTTCAAAACAGAAAGAACACTGTTGGATTGAAGTACACGGCCTTAGCAACCTACCGTTAAAATAAGCTAATTTAGCAGCATCGTGTCAAGACTTCTTCACAATAATCATAAGGAATTTATTACACAGTTATCCTGTGGCTGGTGCTTACTTCAGGCCAAACTTAACCTTCTTGTTCTCCACCATCAGGTCACAGATGTATCGCACAGAAAGGTAGTGCAGCAGCTTAATGTCATGTCCACGGACCTTGTCAAAGAGCTGAGAGTCCCCATTTCTGAGAGAAACAGAAAGTTTTGTTTAATCTCACATTCTTTTCACATTAGTACAGAATCACCTCTATTAAAATAACACAATTTTGTACTTCACAACATTCAAAAATAACCAGCTGTTACCCTTACACATAACATAGTTATCTTTCACTGTAACACAGTTGTACATTTCTAAGCTGATTTGATTACCTGACAGCACTGTCGTTCTCTGGTGCCTCCTCTGACACCGCTGCTGCGTCATCACTGCCTCCTACAAAGTGTTGGGAGCAGAAAACATATCCAAATTAGACATAAATACCAGCCTTACATATATGCACATATAATACTTTCATTTGAAGAAGAAATCAAGGACAAGGATATCTTTGCTATTGTATTTGTTAACCACTTTATAACAACAGTAATAATAATGTCAATGCCCGTGTACCTTTTCAAAAAAGTCCTGATAAAAAAGGCTACACATCTGTTTGTCAACTGCTGCAACTATTTACAGACAAGAGACCTCACATGACACTTGTAAATATTTTCCACGGAAAATGAGTTAGTCACAACTTCCTCAAACTAGACCTTCAAGTTATTTAAAAATGTATGTTGATCCAGTACCAGAGAAAATGTAATTGTAGCCTGTGCGTCCATAGAGCTCGCCCCAACCAGCCAGGGTAGAAGACCGGCAAATATGCTGCATTAGTAAAAAGAAATGTGATAGTCATACAGTTGTACTGAAATGCTCACTTCAATCCAGAAACCAATACCACTGCAGTACCTTGCCATTGTAGAGGATGACAGGACAGACAAATCTCCCTCTGCAACGAGCTAGCTTACTTCGATTCACCAGGTCCTGCAGCTTACTGACTTGTACTGTACTCTCAAACCTAGAAACACAAAAGGCAATCTTGTATCACGATACAAGGGCAATGATACGATATATAGCAATTTACTGTGATATACGCAGGACGATATATTGATGGCTGTTAAAGCTATTTAATTATGGGAAAACTGTCAAAAGTAGTAAACACACAATGCTGTTACATGCTGAACATCAAGTTACTACAATTAGAACAGAGGCTTCTATATTTGTAATCACTAGAGAAGAAATAAATAAATATAATAAATATAATGAACACACACCATGAATACTTGCTTGTTAATTATTCATTTAAACAAAGTTGATTCAGTGCTGTGGAATATCAATAGGATATCGTGAAATGAAATATCTTTATATTTCAGTGTATCAATATTTTCTTAAACCCTTAAAATCCAGTCCTTATTCTATAGTGTAGTTATATACATAAAATCATATAAAAATTACCTTAAATACAAATCAGATGGGGTATGACAGAACAAAACAAAAATCATTTGTTTTCTTTTGTTCTCTCTCTCTGTTACAATGTTACCATTGGATGTGTAAGAATAGACAAAGCTACAACAACAAACAAGAATTAATTGTGAAATCACCTGTTACTGTCTGGATCTGTGGATTCGTACTCCAGAAAAACTATTTGACGTGGGTAATGGCCACACACTTCCCCATTGGCATTATGGATGACACTGTACTTATAATCCCTGGCAATTAACTCCAGACAGCGGTTCTCTACAGCGTTCACCTGATGGAGGACATAAGGGAATAACAGGATGGATAAAGACAAAAAATAAACACACTGCTTAGTTTGTTTTAGTTCCCTGGATTCTGAACGCACATGAACAGTTAGTATAACAGTAGGTAACTGTTCACAAAATAATAGATAGAATTTTTATATAAGAAACATTTCGTTTAAAATAGTTTTTTTGTAAATATATTTATATATATTATATTTGAGATGAGGTTCTGCTGTTTTTGTTACTGTTTTATAAGAAAGCTATCGCGATATGATTTTTGGACCAACGATATAGATATTATGCACCGTGTCACCAAAGTACATTTCTAAACAACCTTAACCTCTTTAACACATCTCAAAAACTAAAAAAACCTCAGCAAAATAAAGTCAATAAGAAAAACACCACAACTCTCACTTCCACTAAGTATCACCAATAATTCGATAGAGAAAAACAAGCTGAGGGAACCCAGTGATTCAGCGCTGAGTTGTTTTGAACTGTTTTACGCACTCAATACTTTTGTTTTCTTCCTGGTCCTGTTATTTATCCGGCCGTGTTTATTCGCCAGACAGAGTGCGCGCGCACACACACCCACATAATATGGTCACTTTACAGTCTAAATTTAGTCTTCCTGACCCCCTCATTCTGCTGGACCAGTCACAGCAAAGTGACTGGTTGTTGGGCACAGGTAAATGTTTTATAATTGGCTCTCTTACCTCAGGAGAGATCTCCTTCGCTCTGTACTGCGTCTTGGAAAACAAATATATCAAGTCCGCTACTTCGTCGCTCCTTCTGACTGCCAGCCCGGGACCTGAGTACCCGGCAGCTGGGGAGGTAGGGGAGAAGGCCATTAGTCTGCGTCGACAAGCAGTGGAACCCAGCCGAACCTGACCTTCTTCAAACACCACCGAGCCTTGTCCTGTTGACAGACCAGACCACGACCGACCAGGCCATCCCCTCCCTCCAATCTTTCTCCTGAATGTCCGCTTGGAGGGACTGGGGGGTCTTTGTGAATTCAGGATACCAAATAACTGCAGCACTTCCCACACAGAAGCTCCTTGGCAGACGAACGAACAGCGAGGCTGCCACTGGAGTTAGCGCATCTGGCTAACACGCTACTCTAGATCGAGTCCCAGCTTATGCTGCTAGTAACCATCGGCACATCCCTTTTCAAAAGTATTTTGATTCTCTTTTTCTGACCTTTGAAGTCATCCAGCACATCACCGCTTTTATGTCGATATGGAGTACAATTGTTAACCGCCCTTCAGTCAGCTGTGGTCAGGGGAGCTCCAGGATACTTCCCGGCCTGCTCATATTTCCAAAGTGTTTCGTCCTTATGTCTCCAAATATCGCCGAACTGGGAAATGAAACGAGACACGTAAGTGACGTAGCGTAAATCGTAATCTAGAACATGCTTATTTTGTCATATTGAGGAGGTGAAGAAAACACAGACGTGTAGTAACCTCTCAACCCCAGGCTCTGTGTGCAGTTGCTAGTAAACAGGAAATGACCACAGCAGTGAGACCGCCCAGGCTTCCCCTCATAAAATGATGTCACAGTAACAACAGGGTGTTTTGAAATGGCTGCTGTCAGTGTATGTACTCCAGAAATCGATTGAAATGGTTTAAGTTCTTACTCACTTTGTTTCGTGAGTGTTACGTTTAAATTTACTTATATACCATTACGTTGTAAAGAATAAGTAGATGGCACACACGTTAAAGACACCCTGAGTCTTTTTGACCTGACGTAAGGCAGGGGTGTCAACCTCAAATTCACAGTGGGCCAAAATTAAAAACTGGGACAAAGTCGCGGGCCAAAAGTTAATAAATTATCGAAAAATTGACTGCAATCGTGCATGTTTTCCCTTCTCTCCAGGTATGTAATGTACATTTTGTTCATATGGAAACACACTTAAGTTTTGCATAAACATTGAATCTGGAACAACCAAAGCTTAATATTATAAACACATGAGAAATTAAATTTGAAATAAAAAGTACATCAGTGGTATTTGTCTCTTATTATGTCTCTTTCTGTAGCCTATTGAGTTCCTTTTTAATGTAAATCTTTTATCTTCACAGGCCAACAACAAAAAGTGCTATGTGCTATATATATAGGCCAGTATATAGGGGCTATATACTGTCGGGCCAACTCTAGTTCACATTTGATATAATCTCATGGGCCAAATATAATTACACAGATTTGGCCCCCGGGCCTGAGTTTGACACATGTGACATAAGGTCTTTCTAGTGAAGATTACAAAATTAGAAAAATGTGAGAGAAAAAAACTATTTAAGTGGGGTTTACCACTATGGTAATGACCTTATGTTTCTGTTGTTAGCATACTGTATATTTAGCTACTAAATCATGGTCTTCACTGCCCGTTCAATTATTTTCTTTAGAGTGAATCAGCAATAACTGATCATGTGTATGTCCACGTGATCCTGTCAGAGTTGGTTGGCTTTTTTTGCCTCTCCCTGCTGGACTGAACTTTGTCCTTGTACCTTTTTACCCTGCCACTTGTTTATTGAAATAATTTCCTTTTTTTTATCTTAATCCAGTGTCCTCTGTGGGTATCCTCTAATCATCGCAACAGGGGAGTGGGTTTGTTAGTTCATACCTACATTTACGTTTATGCATTTAGCAGAAACTTTTTTATCCAAATCGACTTACAAAGGAGGATTAACATTCAAGCTACACAGAGGAACTCTCTATTATGTAGTGTTGGTCTTTACTCGTTGTTGCTTAATTTCCCTTTATTATGTTTTTTTCTTTGTGTTTTGCCTACTTTTTTATACACCGACTTTATTTGTTCTCTTGTTCCATTTTATTTAAATGGTATAGATTGGTTCTTGAGTTCTTTTTACGTGAAATATAATTAACTGTAATTTTAAAACATTTTATCACAATACATTTAATTTAATAAACACAAATGTTTTAGACACAGGTCAAAAAAACTAACTAAAAAACAAAACAAAACAAAGAAATGCAGTTTTACGAGAACGAGAAGAGCGCACCGTGTGCGGTGTGTCGCTCCAGAGCAGCTAACGCAAAGGATAGACAGGAGACGAATAAGAAAAAGTTGTTGCTGTAGAAATAAAAATGATAAAAAAAGAAAAGACGAAAGGTATGTCACGTTCACAAACTTAAGAATTGAGAAATGGGATGACGACCCAGGACGAAGTGCTTTGTGTATATTCCCAAGTGTAATTTTGTAGTACACATAGTTCACCATGGCAGCCACAATAAAGAAGACAGCAGAAGAACAGCCAGTATATAAGGAGTTACTAAGTTTTGTGCTCGACGTGTAGCCGTACCTCAACTAAAACTGTCTGCGGTGGGACGGACTAGTGGGCGATACCGCCGACCAAGCACCGTTGGGCAAAATGGCGGACGGGTATTGCTAAGAAAGTTAGAGACGAAAATGTAGATCCAGTTACTGTCTTAACTGCATCTTACTTAAGATGTATGTGAATGTATGTCGTCCTGAAACTTTGCAATATCCTTAAGATACCAATCTTACACTGGAGGTAATATTTAATACAACAACCTCCCTGGAACACCACTGACAATACAGGACACGACTCTCAGAATTCTAGCCTCTGCTGCCACTGAGTGGACATCTCCCAACATAACATTACATCCTCCCCCTCTAGTTGTTTAACTCCCTCACAAACGCACCAATAATCAACGTTTTTAAAATAGTTTAACAGTCAGAAGCTGACCCCTCTCTCATATCACGCCTTTCCACTGTTGGTACATGAGCTCTCTCTAGTGGTGCATATGGGAATATGATTTCTTAATAACATTGCAAAAAGTGGTGGAAAAATAACAAATGCCTCATTATACAATGTCGATCTGGGAGATAAATAATCTAAGAATTTTTTTCGAGAAAATATATTTTTATTGACTTGATAAATTGCGCCACATATCGTCACCAAAAAAACTTACAG